GCGCCGCTGCTGGCTGGCTGCGCAAAGCTCGCCTGCAGCATGCCGCCGTGCGCTCGGCCCAGGTTCTTCAGCTGTTTATCCGCGTAGCTGAGGCGGCTCTTCTGGCTCAAGCGCTGCAGTTGGTCTTGCTGCAGAGCCAGCTCGGTTGTTCTGGTGTGGTCCCGCAGCGGAAACATGGAGATCTCGGTAATTTCGGCGCCCTCGATTTACTCCTCTACGTCGCTGCCACCGCCTCCGCCCACGTCAACGAGCTCCAGCGGGACCCGGCCCTTGGGCCTTTCGGCATCGCTCGCGGAGTCCCCCTCCGCCTCCAGGTGCGCAGCCGCTGCCGGCCGAGGCTTAACCCGCGCCTCCGCCGCGAGGTCCACGCGCGCCAGCACGTCTCGCGCCACGTGCGCGCAGAACTCCGCCAAGGTGCACTGCTCCTCGCGCCATCGGCAGTGGTGGTTACTGAAGGCGAGGATGCGCCGGGCCGCCTCCAAAGGCATGCGCCGCGTGGGCTCTTGCGAAGTTCGCTAGGCTGAGGAGCACCAGCTCGCCCTCCTCGAGGTTCGCCCGGGGTTCTTTCAGCTCGGAGAAGAGGGTCGCGTCCGCGAGCGCGAGCCTCTTGCGGGCCAGGCGGCGCCTGGAGTCCGCGCGCGCCGCCAGCGCGTGGATCTCCGCGCGCCGAAGTCGCCGCGCCCGCTCGAACGAGTGTGGGCGCACGGCAGGGCAGTCGCAATTCTTCAACATATGGCTGTATTGGGTAACGCTGCCACAAGTGAGGGGACCCTCGCACGCCAAAGGCGTGAAGAGGAGGGCCTTGAAGAGCGAGTTCTGCTCTGGGTCCTGTGCCCAGGTCGGGCACTGGAAACCGTCGATGGCGGGGGCGTCCATCCGCGTCAATTGGACCTCCTGCACGTACCGCGGAGCCATGACGCAATGGTTCTCGAAGACGAAGAATCTCGGCCCAGAAGCTTTCACCCGGCTCGGCTTCAGGACTCGGCGGACGTACATCTTGTAGATGTAGTGCGGCATGGTCTGCAGGCGAGGGCCCTTGTGGGTGTAGTCGTCGGCCGCGTTCGCGCTGGCGGCGCGCGCCTGCATATCCTCGCACTCCGCACCGTGAAAGACTCAGGCTGAGGAGTAGCGCGAGCAGGCGCGGCCGCAGACGCGCCTCGGCCCCTCCCCGCGTGCTGAGAAGCGCCGCGGGAGGCCGAAGATGGGGGCGAGTTTCGCGGCGAGGCGAAGGCCATCGCAATGTAGACTGCGCAGGACAGGCACCTTGTGGCGAGGGGCATTGGAATGTCGGAGGCACGTTCTGGACCAAGGACGGCAATCAGAGGCAGAAGGGGAAATTGGATTGCATTAAGAGTGCGGGGGGCTTCGAACGCCGCAGCAATAGCGCTAAGAACGCAAGGGCGGCAAGCAAAAGGTAGCCCGGGAATGGGGGCCTGGGAACTCGATGAACACAAAGTTTCCTACAGCTGGCTCCGGGCATTCACAATGCATCCCGGGAATGGAGTTCTGGGAACTATGTGGCCCGGGAATGGAGTTCTGGGAACTCGACGAACACGAAGTGGCCTACAGTTGGATCTGGGCATGAAAAAAAGGGGCCCTACTACTACTACTACTACTACTACTACTACGACTACTACTACTACCATTACTACTACTACGACCACTACTACTACTAGAACTACTACTACTACTACTACTACTACTACTACTACTACTACTACTACGACTACTACTACTACTACGACTACTTTACTACTACTACGATAACTACTGACGACTACGACTACTAGAGCTTACTCACACTACTACTACTACCACTACTACTACTACTACTACTACTACTACTACTACTACTACAACTACTACTACTACTACTACTACTACTACCACTGCTAGTACTACTACTACTACGACGACGACTACTACTACTACTACTACTACTACTGCTACCACTACTACTACTACTACTACTACTACTACTACTACTACTACTATCACTACCACTGCTACTAAAATTCCCCAAGGGGGTCGTCGGAGACGCCAAAGGCGTTGAAGTCCGAGGAGGAGAGGAGAAGGAAAGGACGGAGAGGGAGGGCTCGGAGGCCCCTGGATGGGGGGGATGTGCCCATCCGAGGGAACGGTGCACCCCCCCCCCTCCCCGTCGTGAAAACGAGGCACCAGCCGTGGCAACGACCCCCCCCCTATCCCCCCCCGCGACTTGAGTAGACCACCCAAGCCAGCGGGGAGCGCCATAGAGGGCGGGGGTTCTGACGTCGATGAAAGAAGAAGGAGGAGAGCGGGAGGCAAGGAACAGGCAGACGAAAGCCCTTTTTAAGCTTTACCCGGCGTGTGGGCATGCCCTTTTTGGTTGTTGCGGGGGCAAGCCCGCGCGGTCGCCCGCAGGCGATAGGGCGCCCTGGCCCTCTTCGTGAGCGCGCAGGCGCGTGGCGTACTTCATGCGCATGATTGCCCGCTGAAGCGCCCCGCGGCACGACGGCGACGGTGAAGGGGCAAATTCGGCGACGCTGGGGCCCCTAATGCGAGGAGGAAGCTACAGATGCATCTTCTGTGACATTGGAGCCCCGCAGGACAAGTCAGCTCAGCCTGCCTCAGCCTCAGCCTGCATCAGCCTCCGTCTCAGCCTCAGCCTGCGTCAGTCTCAGCCTGCTGCGCTCCCGCATACCCCTTCGGCCTCAGCCTGCCTCAGCCTCAGCCTGCATCAGCCTCAGCCTCAGCCTCAGCCTGCCTCAGCCTCAGCCTGCTGCGCCCCCGCATACTCCTGCGGCCTCAGCCTGCATCAGCCTCAGCCTGCATCAGCTTCAGTCTCAGCCTCAGCCACAGCCTGCCTCAGCCTCAGCCGTACCTCCGATGGCGCCGAGGTGGCTCCCGTGCGTTCCTGCACCACGGAACGCACCTCCGATGGCGCCAAGGTGGCTCCCGTGCGTACCTGCGCGCACGGAGCGCGTCTCCGATGGCGCTGAGGTGGTTCCCGTGCGTACCTGCACGCACGGAACGCACCTCCGATGGCAGCCTCCGAGGTCGCTCTCCCGACCAATGCGTAATACGTTGCACACGCCCGCTCGAACGAGGCCCCCTCGGATGTGGCGCCTACCGACGGGGCTCCCGACACTCAAGTGACGTCGCGTACCTAGCGCGTCACGGACATCCATGAGCACTCCGTCACCGCGATTTCCTACCCGGCTTCTGCCCGCTTCCGCCCGGACCCCCTCTGGAGTGTCACGATGTTTTCTTTTGACCCTGCTAGAAACCTATCAGCAAAAACTGTTAGGTAATTACTCCGACGGAAGGGCCCCGCATGATAATCAGCACACACGCACGCCATGGGAGGCGGGATCCTCCAGTTGCACACCTTCCTCTTCTCCTACCCACCTTGCCTCCTCGGTCTCATACGGGCGCTCCTCCTCTAGCCTCATACCCCTTGCCTTCTCTCCTCCTCTTTCTTGCTTCGCTCACGTGTCATCCCCCCTCCTGCCCCAGCACAACGTGATGTTTCCTCCCCACCATCATCCACGCCCTACGCCCCCTCATGCACACTCACTTGCGCTCTAACATACATATCCTGCGTCCACCCTCACCAGGCTCTCCTCACTACCTCCTCCTCCTACCATCAATCCCCTTGTTCCTCCTCACACTCTCCTCTCCTGCATTCCGCTTCCTTATCCTCCTCCCTCTCTGCACCTAACTCCTACACCCTTACTAGCCTCCAACTCCTAAGATCCTCGTTTTACACTACATGTTCCACCCCACCCCTCTCCCCCCCCCTCCTCCCCCCCCAGTGAGAATAGTAGGCCCCAGGTTCGACTTCAGACATCTTTTGAGGCTTCCTACGTCGCCACCGCCGTATAGGGCAGAGCGCCCTCAGCTGCTACTTTTTATAGCCACAGATCGAAAACATACTGTGGCTCAAGGCGAGAAAAGCCCGCTTTGGTAGCGGAGCTATCAAGCTCCGCGGGCCACCCCTCCGGTCGGCCGGCCCTCCGCGCGGCCAGCGCCGCGCGTGCCCGCGCCTCCGCAGGCAAGTGCGACTACTGCAAGTACGAGTGCGCGCTGGACTACCAGTGCGCGAGGTCCCGCGAGTACGCGGGGTACCACGACGACGGCAACCTCCAAGAGTGCGACGAGTACCGCGGGCACGCGGAGTACCACCAGCACGTCAAGGAGGTTCAGGCGATCACGCCTGATCTACGGCACTGTTTTCTACTACTTGTACTTTGTTTTTTACGGCGCCGACATGGCGCGCCAGCAGCAAGGCGGCGACAGACAACAGGGTACGCTTCAGCTCGAGGAGTTCACGAAGTTTGTTCCTCCGGGCTGGCGCCCGCACGTGAGAGGTTACACGTTCCGACGATATATGCAGAAGCTGAAGCTGTGGTGGAGGATTACCGAGGAAAATCAGTATGAAAGGATTGGGCCTCTCATAGTCTCACGACTTCAGGGCGCTCCCTTCACCGCAGCGATGTCGTTCACTCATGTACGAGATGGAGTTCAGTATCGAGGAGATGAAGCCATAGCACTGCCAGCACAGTTGGCCAACCCTCCTCATCAGCAGGAAGATCAACCCGGCATCAAGCACTTCTTGAATCAGCAGAAAGCGATATATGAACTACACGATCAAGACAGAGTTGGCATTGTATTGGACTCGTTCTTTGATTGCCGGAGAGGACACCATCAAGACATACCGACGTGGATTTCATCGTTCGAGCTGGCATTCGAAGATGCATGCGAGGAAGGCGGCTTGGTCATGAACGACACGGGCCGCAGCCACTTCTTACTGAAGAATAGTGGACTATCAGACAAGAGGCTCGACGATTTGAAGTTGCACGTGGCAGGCGATCTATCACAATATCGAGTATTGCAGGGCCTGATGATGAGGCTCGGCAAGCAGGACCAGGTCGGGCAACACAATGAGTGGGCCTGGTATGGTGAACAGGGAGATGGAGCCGATCCAGAAGATATGGAGGAGACCTGGTACGAGGCCTACAATGACGAGCAGTACGAGTGGGGCTACGACCAGGACTTCGGCTGGACGGCTACAGCAGATGGCGAATGGTACTTCCAAGAGTATGATGACATCTGGGCCAAGTATGACGACAGCGGCGAGATGACAGAGTATTACGAGGCAGATCAAGACGACAACGACACCTACTACGGTGGCAAAGGACGCGGCAAAGGCAAGCGTGGCAAAAGCAAAGGCAAAGGTCGAGGACGAGGCGGATTCAGACGGCGCTTTCCCATGAAAGGCAAAGGACGTGGCAAAGGCAAAGGTCACAGCGGCGGCGGCAACGATCGCATGAGCGGCGCAGGTCAGCGACACGACGGATGCGATATTTGTGGAAGCAAATGGCATGATCGAGCTCACTGCCCCGCCAAGGATCGACAGCAACAGCAGCAGCCGCAGCAGCAGCAGAGCTCGACCTCGACGAAAGGCAAAGGTAAAGGTGGACGCAGCCGTCACTATGCAAACGTTGTTGGTCTCTCTACCTCGGACGCGACAGCAGCATCGGCGTCCGCAGGATCGAGTTCGGCGGCACCACAGATGACGACGAGGCCGCCTGGCTCGTGGATCAACGTTGCTACTCCGATCACCTCGACGGCAAGCACGATACCTGTGGAGCGATATCATATGGCTACCGGTTCCGAGTGTGCAGTACCAAAAGGTGACTCGTATCAGATCGACGCGGACGAGCCCTCTGACTGGTACACGCATCCTGAAGTTGAGGCACCAACACCGGAACGTCAGCGACCGGTTCGACCTCCCATACTGGGTTCAGCCTCTCCTTTTCCTGATGATCGAGTCAGCCGGACGCCTCTGAGGTCGGTGCTTCGTGACACGACGGCATCATCATCAGCAGGCGAGGCTCCAGCTTTGACGTTGGCCCAGAAGTTATCTAAGCAGTACGCTTTGGTGGTCATGAAGAACCAGGTGAGCATCACAGGTGGCACTGACATGAATGACCAGATGAGCTCCTCAGATGGCAATGACATGATGAACGAATCTGCTCAATCATCTAGGATATTTGGTTGTCAGCAATCATTGCCCAAAAGCAGATCAATCACTTCAATTGCTTGGTTGTCAGCAGAGGCCTACATGTGATGATCAGCGACACAGCTCATTCCTGGAAGGCAAGAACAGCAACGACGACCCCTACGCGATACTGCATACAGTGAAAGGCAAGCCTCGACATGGATTGATCGTTGACCCAGGAGCGGCTGAAGGTCTACTTGGCACGGAGACGTTGTTGGAGTGGAACATGGACTTGTATCAGCCTGAAGGCATCTCCTACAACATCCGGTCTTCTCAGGCGACCTTCACGGGCATCAACGGTCAAGCCGACCCCTCATGTGGCGAGTTTCTCGGACCGATCTGGGTCGAAGGCATGGCGAAGGGCACCACCTACCAGGCGGACATGATTGGCGGTCCTGGCGCAAGGTGCCCGGGCCTCCTGCCCAACAGCACCATGATCAAGCAGAAGTGCATCCTGTTCGAGAATATGTATCGCAATGGCGACGGCATCCTGGCGTTCGTGCCTGATGATAAAGTCTCTACGATGGCTCGAGTATTGTTGACAGATTCTGGGCACTATCTTCTACCGATCGACGTGTTCAAGCCTCAGACGGAGCAAGTGGTAGACGAGATGGTCAACCTGATCGAGGAAAGGATATATAAGTTATTCTCAGCTTTTGATCATCGCCGGAAGCCCAAGGTTCAGCTACACACGGCCAGTCAACCACAAGGCCCCGAAGCGCAGAATCAGAGTGAGATAAGTAGACTGGCAGCACCCTCGACGACACCGCCATCGAGACAGACATATGGATCGTATCAGAACAAGGACGCCACAGAATTCTATGATGTATGGAGACAGTTCGGCAGCATCAGATACTCTCAAGATGAATGGCCAAGTAACTTTGAGCATGCTGATTGTCATCGAATGGCTCGAGAGTACGAGTTCATGGACGAGAAGTTCTACACGACATCTCGGTTACCGGTGATTCGACCAGAACACGTTCGAGCCTTCATTCAGCGTATGCGTTCAGTAGCCCACAAGACGAGTCTACTGGTGGAAGTCTTTTCAGGCACCTCTGGAGTTTCTTGCGCAGCCTATCGGAATCACCTGATAACTTTACCACCGATCGACTATCGCTATGGCTGGGATCTACATCGACCGGATCATCAGCAGCTGCTACTTGACCTACACGAAGCTTTTGTGCCATTATTTTCGCTAATGGAGTTCTACTGCCGACCTTGGTCTCAGTCAAATAACAACGCGGAGCCTGTTGAGTTGGAAAGCAGGCGAGATTACGAACGACCGATACTGACATGGACAGCTCAGACATATGCGCCTGCACTGGAACGCAGAGGAAGTCAGATTATCATGGAGAACCCATCTCGCTCAGCTATCTGGAAGCAGTCAGATCTTCGGCTGATCCCAGACATCCTGATGCGCGAGACGCATGACAACATCACTGACCAGTGCGCGCATGGAGCCTGGAGTGTGGATCTGGAGTTGCCGATTCGCAAGAGGACTTTCTTCCGAAGTACGACTCGGCTGCGAAGCACATCCAGATCATGCAAGTGCACAACACCACATGCGGAGCTACAAGGCACCGACGACAAAGGTCGAAAGCGAAAGGCCTTGGCAGCAGTTTATCCAGTTGGGTTGTGCCGATCATTGGTCAAGGACATGGTCAAGCACATGCACTCCTGCCGGACACAGGCTTATTGGAAATGCAAGCGTTGTCAGCATGGTGCAGGTTCAGGGGTACCACACACACGAGAGGACGGTTGCAGATTCAAGCCGGTTCCTGGACCAGGAGCATCTCCAGCTGCAGCACCTCAGGCAGCTGCTGAACAGGTTGGAGAGCCAGCACCTCCTCCAGCACCAGTTCCAGCAGACGAGCAAGCACCAGCACCAGCAGCAGCAGCAGAACCACCAGCAGCAGAAGCAGCAGATCCGGTTCCACCGCCTCCGACACCAGTGGCATCACGACCGACGACATCGGCATCAAAGGTCACGATCATCAAGCCCTCCTTCGACCTTGGCAAGCTAGCTCAGAAGTTGACACAGGCTGCCTCGGACGAAGAGCGCATCAAGTTGCTCATGGGCCTTCACTATAAGTTTTTTCACCCTCCGGACTTTGAGAGCTATGCTTAGGCCTGGCTGAGCACTGCGAGACCTGCCTGCAGCGACAGCGAGCTATGAACAAGCCGAGTATCAAGATGACCATCGCAGTTCGCTTCAATGAGCGCGTCCAGGCAGATCTGTTCTTCGTATTCGAGAAGACTTGGCTGATGATGATCGACGAGTGCATCAGGTACCGCATCGCATGCCTGCTGGCCACCAAGCAGGGCAAGGACGTCTTACGCGCGACGCTCGGTCACTGGATTCGGTATTTCGGGCCGATGGATAACCTGGTGATGGATCAGGAAGGCGGTATGACGACTGACAACGTGGCGCTGGTGGCAGACAGATACAACCTACGGCTGATATTTGGTGGAGCTGATGGACACACCACCACAGGTCTAGCAGAGCGAGCGATTCAGACCTTGAAGCTGACCGCTCTCAAGACGAAGCGCGACGTGATCAAGCAAGGCCTGACCGACATCAGCGACGAGGACATAGTGGAGGAATCAGCGATGGTGGCGAATCTCTTCATGAATTACGGCGGCTCGGTTCCAGCTCAAGGGTTGTTTGGATATATGCCTAAGGACGCCTACGACCCGGAAGCAGGAACCCTGACGGCCACTCAGAGTGCGATGGATCTCACGCCGGACCCGACTGAGCAGCATTTGCGCCTCAGGCTCTTGGCGAAGTCTAACATCCTGCAGGCCATCATCGAGGAAAGGATCGCCAAGGCCAACAATACACGTCAGCAAGCTCAGGATGCCAAGTGGATCGAGACGCTCAAACCTCATGATCAGATTGACATTTGGCGTACACCAGCCAGGAAAGATCAAGATGGTTGGCGAGGTCCAGCGGAGTTCATCAGCCTTGACAAGGACAAGGCGGCGGCCATCGTGATTCACCAGAATCAGCCATACAAGATACCGACAAGGCACATGCGAGCACGACGAATGAGCTTCTATGTTCTGGGCACATCCTGGGACAAATATCAAGTGTACCTCGGCAGCGGCAGCACGATGAAGCTCACGGAGTTGTTCGAGATCATTGAAGGCACACCACCAGGCATCGTGTATCGCATGGGCATCTTCAACGAGCAACCTACACCACTGGAACTACTGCAGGCACCTCCTCCGACATGGCTGTTGGCACAGAGTGTGGGTATGACCATTTTTCGGATGACGAGCGTAGACGGCATCATCTACGGTCAAGGACAACGGCAGCTAAAAGGTCTGAGTGAATTCACACATGGAGTGATCGTGGCCTGGCGAGATCGACACCGAGAAGATTACTATAGCAGCGACATCGATCCGAGTCAGCCGATCAACATGGTGAAGTTCGTAGGCGCCGACTGGGACAAGTACCATTTTCTATTATTGGTATCTAAGCATCGGTATGGTGACGATAACCCGGGCACCTACCAGCGTCCTGACCTAAGCGACATACCGTTTCTTGACGACGATCCGTATGATCCACCCAGCATCTTGCAGCACACAATGCCTATCGAGGTGGACGATCATACGATGCCTCCAGCTTCTCCGATTGCACCAGCATCACCGGCGACACCTGCAGAAGCGCCACGACTTCCTCAGATACCAGCGCAGCCAGTATTTCCATCACCTGCTGAACGACATCAGGAACTAGCATCACCGGAACATGCTGTTTCGCCTATCCTGGAAAAGCTGCGCGGTGTGATTCAGACGATCGCGAAGCAGAAGACCAAGGCAGCTGCAGCGGCAGCTCGGACTCAGGTGACACAGAGACGCGACGATGATGGAGATGAAGTGTTTCAACCATCAGCAGGAGCAGCATCGACTTCACCGGCAGAGTTCAACGACGGACTCGAGCAAGATCTTTGCCAGTTGATTGACGATGAGAATCTGGAACGGGAGATGAGCAAGCTGATGGAGATACATCAGGAAGTTGAAGCTCTAGAACGTAGTATTGATGAAGGCAGAGCCCGGCGACTTCTAGAAGAAGCAGAAGCACGACACCCAGCATCAGCAGCTCCACGATCACGATCACACTCACCGAGACGACCAGATTCTGAGACCGCGGCGGCATCAATGCAAATGGTGCCAGTCACTGAACAGAATGATGACACCACGACAAGGACTCGGCATGACCCGAGAGCACGACAAGAGACCGACTTAGACGACAGCATCATCGACCTTGGACATCAGCGGAAGCAAGCGCGACCAACTACTGAACCACTTCGACCTCTACCAGAAGTTATTCCACTTCATGAGCAAGTCCTTCAGCCACTTCAGGATGGACCAGCACCTGAAGTTGATTCGCATCAAGATCAAGGACTTCAACCAGGTCAAGATGGACAAGCAGTCTCGGCTCAAACGGGCAGCCATGGCGAGGAGAACATCATGAATGCCAATGACTCTGGCTTCCTTGCCGACGCGCTTGGCGAATTGATGGAGGTTCCTGAGGTCGAGGTGATGAACGATCCCGAGGACGAGCCAATACCGTTGCAGGACGCAGATGCTCTGTACACGTGGTATGCAGGCCACGCATCAGATAGATCAGTCATCACGCACACGGAGGAGTTGGTAAAGCTATATGAGATCAGTCACTTTCCTGACAAGCTCTACCCAGGCCCTCCAGACATCACTACACATCATCATGCTGCAACGTCCCCATGGACTACGACAGATTCCTGCTGCATTTTCAAGGGCTTGGAGAGTCACGGCCCCTCGCGATGTTTCTACCTGGACTTGATGGATCACGAGATGGTGGAGATATACGCGCCCCAAGCCGAGCAATTGATTCAGGAATCTGAGTTCGAGAGTCTCTGGCCCCAGATAGAAGAATCCGATCACAACGAGATCAAGAATTACGTCAAGCACGACTGCTTTAGGCCCAAGTTGAAGACTGAGTGCAACAACGCCAACTTCATAGACGCTACTTGGGTCAGACGATGGATGTGGAAGGAGAAATGGGTCGTGCGATGCAGACTTTGTGGACGAGGCTTCTTGGACAATCAGAAATGGGCAGAGGACAGACACTCTTCGACGGCAGCAAGAGTATCGCAGCGGATGATGGTATCGATCAGTCAGTGTGAGCCAGGCTTTGCGACAGAAAGCTGGGACATCTCATCAGCCTTCACGCAGGGCTTGAGGTTCAGTGAACTGTCCGAACGATCTCGCGAGCTTGGACTTGATGTACGAGAGAAGCGCGAGGTCTACATAGCCCCCCCGGCCAACGTCTGGCGCCACCTCAAGCAGTTGTCGGAAATGTTCGCCAAGATTCCAGATGATCAACAACATTTATATGTACTTGAGTGTGTGAAACCAGTTCCTGGACTCATTGATGCTCCACTATTGTGGCAGACAGCGCTGACACTACACATCAAGGACAAGATGGCGGGCAAGCGAGCACTACTTGACGAGAACTGCTTTGTATGGCACGACGACAAGACGGAGAAGCTCACGCTAGCGACTACAGTACATGTGGACGATCTCTTCCCGACAGGCAGGCAGTCATGGCTGGATTGGGCACATGCTTTGCTGGAGAAGAAGTTCGGCAAGATTACGAGAAAGACAATGCCCTTCACCCATCTTGGCATAGAATATCATCGACTATCAGATGGCACCATCTTCTTGAGTCAAGACGCCTACCTGGACACGATCGAGTCACCACAGTTGGATAAGGAACGAAGTAAGAACGACAGCTCACTATGTACGGCCAGTGAACATCATCAATATAGATCGCTATGCTGTCAACTACTTCATCTTCTTCAGACACGCTGGGATCTTAGCGCGGCTACGACACAATTGCAGACAAAGCAGACCGCCCCGACGATCGGAGATTTCAAGCAGTTGAAGAGCGTGTTGGAGAGAGCCAAGAAGAATCGAGAACGAGCTGGTTTGTATTATCGCAAGATGATTGGACCGTTCCGCTTGGCAAGCATCAACGACGCAGCTCATGCCACCAAGACGACTTCATACGCACATGAAGCTCAAGGACTCTTCTTGATGGAAGATCGCAGAGTGGAGTTCAGTCGACATGGCATTGTCTCGAAGACCTCATATGACAACGTCTTTGGTGCAGCTCATCCGTTGATAGGTCAGAGCAGAAAGTCCAAGAGAGTATCATATTCAACAAGTCATGCAGAGACAGTGGCAGCAGTTGGAGGTTCACAAGCAGCACAATTTACGGCATTGAGGTTCACCGAGCTGATTGCCAGACCTATGTTGGAGAAGACTGCTGGAGGTGCCCTCAAGAATCTGATGATCATGCAAGATGAAGGGCGCTCGATCATACCCATAGACATCATCACCGACTGCTACGACCTCTACCAGCTCGTGACGGGCATGAAAGGAATACCAGTTGACAAGACACAGCGTCTCAGCATTCTCAGCCTTCGAGAAGATAGATTATCAGGACGAGTGCGGAGATTCTACCACTGGCCGACAGAAGTTATGGTAATGGACAGTCTCACAAAGCCAGGACAGTTTCCGCAGATGCAAGATTACCTTCTATCAGGAGTGATACGACACCGAGGGCTGATCAAGATGAAGAACGGCATCGAGAACGTGATTACCGTCAAGGAGATAGCCTCCAGGACCGAGTTCACAGAGAGCGACCTGGTGAACATCCAGGCCTAGTGGGGGCCGGGCCTATCAGTCGTAGAAGCACAGAATCAGAGTGAGAATAGTAGGCCCCAGGTTCGACTTCAGACATCTTTTGAGGCTTCCTACGTCGCCACCGCCGGATAGGGCAGAGTGCCCTTAGCTGCTACTTTTTATAGCCACAGATCGTAAACATACTGTGGCTCAAGGCGAGAAAAGCCCGCTGGAGGAGGAGGAGGAGGAGGAGGAGGAGGAGGAGGAAGAGGAGGGAGGACTCGAGCTGCCATCCGGAGCCCACCGCGAGAGCCGGCAGGCCGCCGAGAGGCCCCTGCGAGGCGGCCCCCGGGGGCGAGGCCCTCGAGCGGCCCCCAGGAGGCATCCAAGGGGCAGGGCTCATTTCGACCCCGCCGATTCGATTCGATTCGATTTCGAGGGGTTCCGATTCCGATT